CCCCAAAACCCCAAAACCCCAAAACCCCAAAACCCCAAAACCCCAAAACCCCAAAACCCCTCTTAAACATTTTTTTGCTGATAGTGATTATAATTAATAAAAATGAAGCTAATTCTATTGGCAATCTTGATCGCCTTTTCGTTCGCTAATCAGATGAATCGTGAAGACGGAAAATTCATCTTCGAAACTGACTCAAGCCCAGAGTCCCCAATTGGATTCACCATGAAGGGTAAATTGAACCCAGAAAGTGAAGAAGATTCCAGTGTTCAGACTTTCTTCAGACTTGCTGAACAATTGATTCCTCTTGCTCAATCCAGCTTGAGTGATGAGAATAAATCCAGCAACTTACAATTCTATAGAAGATGGTGCTTTATTGGAGGCGGACTTGGTGATGCCATCACTGTCTGTGCTTACGCCAACGCTGAATTGTGGATTGGATGGGAAGTAGATCATGATGGAGGACTTGGTCTCTACAATGTCACTTACACCCCATTCTCTTATCTAAGAGGAGGAGTTAACGTATCTGCTTCATCATACCCAGCTGAGGTCTCTTATGGAGGATATCTCTCTGCTTACGATATCAGAGTTCCAATCAATTTGTTGCTTTCCGATACTCAGATCTGTTGGAGTGGAAATTTCCATCTCTTTGCAACCTCTGCCTTCACTGCTATCAATACCAACCTCTTGCAATGCCAGAGATCTATTCCAGACTGGACTCCATGGGACTGCGACAGAGTTCACGGAGTAGAATTCCAACATCTCTACTTCCCACTTTTGGACAGCATTCATGTTGACTTGTTGCCATTTGATTGTTTGACTTTTTAAGTTTGTTCAACTCTACTTCTCTTATATATCCGGCTAGTATTCTTATCTTTTCCGTTTTTCTATCTCCAAGTAAAAACGAGGGGTTTTGGGGTTTTGGGGTTTTGGGGTTTTGGGGTGTTTTATATAGGAATTTGAGTATTTCTTCGAATTGGGTGGAATTGGGATAGAGGGTTTGATTTGGGGGTGTATGGTTTGGTGAGATTCTTTTTGTGGTTAGTTGTCATTAATGGAGCGTTCAGTATATTTAGAGGGTTTTGTATTTTGTTAGAATTTTGATTTGAGATTTCCTGTTTGAGACATTAATTTCATCAATATTTTTACAAGATTTTAATAAAGATAAATGCTGGAATTAGGGCTAAATTTGCAAAGAGAGGTCAAACTCAAGAAAAATAATAATTAAAGTAAACTTTCTGTGTTCAAGTTTTTCCTGTTATCAATAAACCAATTTCTTGAGAACTAAAACAACTATTGACGTTGTCTGCATAAATATCTCTACCTCTCTAACAAGACTCTATAAAATATAATTCCCAGCCAACTTATTAATTCCAAAAACTACATAAAATCTTCCTTCAAACACCCTTCTACCTCTACCTCATATACCTCCCCTAACCCCCCTCAAAATCTTCACCCCATATTTCCTTCTAATTTCTTCCTTAACTCCAAAACCTCCACACAAGCCCAAAATTTCCCCTAATTTTCCAAAACTCCAAAATCCTTCTGAATCCACTCAAATTTCGATTTTCCAGCTCAGACTAATTTTCTTCTGGAAGTTCAGTTAAAATTCTAGACTGATGGGACCGGCAGTATGGCTGCCCTGGACTTTACCTCTGAAGTTTTGGACTTATTGTGCTCTTCTTCCTCACAGATGAAGGATAGGAGGGAGGAGGCCTTCTGGAGGGTCCTAGATTAGGGGTTAATAATGTATGGGGTACTTTGGAGAGCTTGGCTTGGAAGGAGAATCACTGAAATGTCTCACTATGTCATCACTATCTCTTCTGGTAGAGATTATGTGAAGGGTTTTAAGGGCCTTTGCATTCTTGGAGTCTGAGTTCCTACAGAGGGTAAGTAAAGGAGATTTTTGGGGAATTATTAGGATTTTAGGGCTAAGATCTCTGTATTAAAAGCTTAACGATTGATTATAGCATTCAGAGTTTCACCTTTGGTGCTGATTTATTCAGGAAGCATTGTAAATGGAAGCACTTACAATGTGTTAGAGAAAAGAGGGTTTATATATTAATTTCGACACTCTTACACCCCCAAGTATATTAAAGATCTAAGACCTTCCAACAGGGGCTTTTACATACTTCTAATTAGCAGTTGAAAGATTTTGGAGAAAAAATTTAAAGGAGCTGTAAAATATTTTTAACCCTCCTTCTAAAATATTACTTAAGTAGGAATACCTTTTATCAGGATAGAAACCCAGTTGGTTTCTGAAGGACTCTCCTTTACCATAAGACCCTCTTTTGATGGCCTTGATCTCTTTGAACAATTGATCCTCCTTCTTTTTCAAGCCGAATGTGGGAGCCCTAACTCTTCAGTTCCTAACTGGCTCTAGAGCTTGGTTTTAGAAGGAAATAAGGTAAAATTTGGCTTTAGGAGGCCTAGGAATGGCATCATTGATATTTATCAGAAATAAAGAGGGCTAAGGGGTCGGCTTTGAAGGAAAATTTAGAAGAAAGGTGGTAATTTAGGAAAATTTTAAGTAGCCAGAAATTGAAAATTTTGGTTTTAAGTTGGAATTAGGTAGAGAAATTGAATTAGCTCTGTGTTTTAGAGATTTTTGTGAGGTGGAAAATACCTTTGAAAGCAAGTTCTATAGGCTATGCGACATCTTACTTGGGTGGAAATTGGGAGTGTTTAGAGTTTAGGAGAATCTTCTATGGGTATCATATTAATTGATTCGTCTATTTCTCAATGAAAAGAATTTACCCATATTTTCTTTGAGCTATAAGATTATATCAAATTACTTACTCAGTTAAAACTTTCATCTAATATTTTATCTCTAGCAACTCTATTTGGGATCATACTTTTAACTCACAAGAAAATATTTTAACTAAAGAAATTTTTTTTCAAATTATCCAAATCTCCAAAAATATGGGATGATATTTTAACCATCCGGAAATCTAAAACCGTATATCAATAAATATTTTATCCTATCCCTTGTACTCTTAACCTACATACCTCCTCTTTTTCTTTTTCCTTTTCTTAAATTTCTTCTTTCTTTTAATAGTTCTACAGCCCAAGTTCTGTACATTTTTCATACTATTATCTCACAAGACTGCAGTTGACCTCTTCTTGGATTCTATTTTAGAAGTTTGGAAGAATAGACCAAGTGAAGGTATTAGAAATTTGACTTACTCTGGTTATTTGCGGTGAGGAATTAGACCATTGGGTAGATTAGAGGTTTTCGAGTGACTCTTTTGGGATTTGATGGAACGGTGAGCTGAGTGACCGGAGATAGCGGAAACTTTGGAGGAGAGGTGAGGGGTGGAGGGTGGTTGATGGAGAGAAGAGTGAAGTAATGTTTTAGTTTGGTGTGATAAGAATTAAAAGTTTATAGTTAGAAAAATTAAGAATTTGATTTTGTTTTAAAGCGGTAATGGGATGATTTTAATTAAAAATGTTTCTTTTTAGTATCTAAAACTTATTTAAATTATCCTAAACTTAAAATTTTCAAAAAATGTTACACCATACCATGATTTTCATAATATTCCATACTTTCTCTTTTTTTTATCTTCTATATCAAATTTTACCTCTACAGGCTCAAAAAACCTTCAAAGCAATTTTTAGATCCCATCAACCCCCTATTCTATTAAATTTACCTTCTTTATCCACTTTCAAGGCCTTGTAAAGACCATGCAAACTCATTTTAAAACTTGCACCATAATATTCTGAAAATAATCAATAGATCTTTATTTAAAAGGGGTTTTGGGGTTTTGGGGTTTTGGGG